TGGGTAAGGGGGAGAGATCAATCAAAGTACTTGTATGCATGCATATAAGCCTAACCAGTGGATCCATACAACAGGGGGGAGGGGGATTATGAATGGGAAGATGAGGACAAATATGTAATACCTTAATCAATAAAGAAATTAAAATGCAAAAAAAATAATAATGCAAGGAGCCTCTGGGACAACTTCAAGCATACCAACATCTGAATTATAGGGGTGCAAGAAGAAGAGAGAAAGCAAGATAATGAAAACCTATTTGAAGAAATAATAACAAAAAACTTCCCGTGCCTGGTGAAAGAAATAGAGTTGCAAGCCCAGAAAGTGCAGAGAACTCCAAACAAAAGTAATCCAAAGAGGACCACACCAAGACACATCATAATTAAAATGCCAAGGGCAAAAGACAAAGAGAGAATATTAAAAGCAGCAAGAGAAAAATAGTTATCTATTGAAGTATAAGGGAGTACCCAAAGGACTGTCATCTGATTTCTCAACAGAAACTATGCACACTAGAAGGGAGTGTCAAGAAATATTCAAAGTGATGAATAGCAAGAACCTACAACCAAGATTATCCTACCCAGCAAAGGTATCATCTAGAATTGAAGGTCAGATAAAGAGCTTCACAGATAAGAAAAACCTAAAGGAGTTTATCATTGCCAATCCAGTATTATATAAAATGGTGAAGGGTATTCTTTAAGAAGAGGAAGAAAAAGAAAAAGATAAAAATTATGAACAACAAAGTGACAACTACATATCTATCAACAAGTGAATCTAAAAATCAATTGAACAGAAAATATGATGAACAGAATAAACTGGTGAATATAATAGAATCAAGGGCATAGAAAGGGAGTGGGCTGACAATTCTGGGGAGGAACGGGCTGTGGGGTATAAGAAGGGACTGGACAAAAATTGTACACTTATAGATGAAGACAGTGGGGGAAGATAAGGGCAGGGGGTAGGGGGAATTGGGTGGTTGAGAGCTTAAGCGGGGGAGAGTAACAACTGTAATAATTTGGACAATAAAGATTTATTTTTTTTTTAATTTCACAGATGGATGTGGCTATGGGTATACTATATGGCTAAGGTGAAATGAAAGTTGTCATTGAAGATGAGGAGGTCAAGGAATGACATTACTCAAGGTGTCAGGAGGAATTGAAAAGGAAAGGTAAGCAATGGTGCCCTGTGCTTAAACTTTTAATGAAGAGAATGAAAGATAGGACCAAGAGGTTGGAAGGTCATTAACGGAGGACCAAGAGGTTGGAAGGTCATTAACGGTCACTAAAAGAGTGATAGAAGAGTAGGAGAATTTTGAAAGGAGGATGGAAAAGTAGTGGTCATGAAACAGCTATAGGGAGTTAGGGAAATGAGAACCTGACTTCTCTATGATCTGAGTCCTGTCCTCCACACTGTCTTACCCCAGTTCTCCATTTGCTTCTTATGGCTTAATCAACCCTGTCCATGGTTGACTAAGATGTACTTAATCTATGTGTCCTTTGCATCTGAGTAACCTCTAGGATAGAGGAGAACAAATAGGAGTGGATAGCTATAATTGACATAAAATGGATTTAGGTGAGCAAATCCAACAGAGGTATGTATGGTGTATTAATTTCCTAGGGTGTCCATAACAAAATATTGTAGACAAGGTCATTTAAATTGCATGAATTTATTTTCTCACCATTCTGGAGGCTAAAAGTCTAAGATCAAGGTGTTGACAGGTTTGGTTTTTCTTGAGACCTCTCTCCTGGGCTCACAGATGGCTGCTTTCTTGAGGTGTCCTCACATGGTCATTCCTCTGTATTGTCTGTGTCCTAATCTCCTCCTCCAATGCAGACACCAGTCATATTGTATTAGGGCCCACTAGAAGATTCCCCTTTGAAAGATCCTATATCCAAATATAGTCATAATCTGAGACACTAGAGTTTAGAACTTCATCATATGAATGGGGGTGGGGGGCACAATTCAGCCCATAACAAATGGTGTACGTCTCAAGGTCTTAAGGACCCCAAGATTCCCTCTTATACATCATCTTCTCCCATGATTACCATGAGGAGAAACAGCCAAACAGGAACCAGATACCCTGTGTTACCAGATAGGCTAGTACCAGGTTCACAGGATCAAGCTCTTCAGTAGAGCTTGGTTAAATGACAAGGCTTCCTTTGGTCAGAAGTTTAAGTGGAACATCCCCACCTCCTGCTAGTTTACATCTTAATCTCCTCTCACTCTTTGTCCAGAGGCATGAGAAAGACTGTCAAAGAGAGCCAGAATTGTCTTAGAGAAGCCACTTCCAAGTTGTTTCTCACTGAATGAAATAAGGCAGAAAGCAGAAACTGATGTGTGGTTGAGAGATGGGAAAAGGAGTGAGGTATCTCTTCTTATAGAGACCAAAGGAGGTTCTATTATATAATCCACAAGCCTAATGGCAGCTGAGAATGCATGAAGAATTTGCTCACCAGCAGAGGTCAAAACACTTCACCATAGCTCTTTATCTAACAATACTCTGTGGTAGGGACCCAACCTGTGTTGGCCAGACAAGTGTCTTAAAAAGTTGCTTTTTTAAAACACTTAGTCTCAAATAGAATGGCCTGCAACTTTATATAAAAGAGCAGGAGAATATGGAAATCTGAGTTCATTGTCTCAGCTCCACCATCTATTATAATTTCTATGCAACCCTGGGCAATGCATATATAACCTCTGAGACTAAATTACCTCATCACAGTGTTATTAACCAAGTACATAAAGTGGAGATGATAATATATGGCCTTTACTGGCTATTTTGGGGATAAAATGAGTCATAACAGAGAAGCATTCTTCTTGGGTGTACCTTTTCCTGTTTTATCTTAGAGATCACCCTCTTTTATTAAAAAAAATAAATCTTCATTGTTGCAAGTATTTTATAGGTCCTCCTTCCCCGCCCCCTTCCCCCATTAACCTCTTCCAGCATGCTCCAATGGTCACCCTCTTTTTAAAACCACTTTGAGATCTTAGAAATTTTAATCTCATCTCAATAGTAGTGTGACAGATATTGTTCTACACACTGAAACAGGGATGCCATGAAGTGTTTGAGTAAGAATGTGCTGTTAAAAGATAAATCAAAACACCTAGTACAACATTACCATTGAAATTAGAAACTCCAAACCCAGGAGGACAGACAAAAAGCTCAAGGCTTCACATTGGGTTTAGGCAAAACGTGGCCTCCATTCCTGGCATCTTGATTCACAGACCAGACCTCTTCCACCGTGACTCCACCCTCTATGCTCCCAACATGTAGCCATTTACTTTTACAATTTTTTTTTCAGATGCATATATACCAACTAATTATTATTTTTAAAACTTTTATTTAAATCAACTCTAGATTTATTTTTTAGTTAGAATCCATATATTTGGAAACATGATTCTGCCATAAATATAAAAATAAAGATAATGAATAAAAAATTGTTAAGTTCGCCGAGACCGATTTGGCTCAATGGATAGAGCGTCGGCTTGGGGACTGAAGGGACCCGGGTTCGATTCCGGTCAGGGCATGTACCTTGGTTGCGGGCATATCCCCAGTAGGGGGTGTGCAAGAAGCAACTGATCCAATGACTCTCTCTCATCGATGTTTCTGGCTCTCTATCTCTCTCCCTTCCTCTCTGTACAAAATCAATAAAATATATTTGAAAAAATAATAAATAAATAAATAAATAAATAAATAAAAATTGTTAAATTCTAGCAAAATACCATTGCATCCTCAAGACTGAGCCTGAGACCTGCCTTTCCTTGTTAAAAGGGAAAATAGTATTCATGGTATAATGATACCACTTTGAGACTTTCTTTTTTATAATATCAGGAGTGAAGGAGAAACTTCAAAGGCAGGAAGTTTCTTTTTTTGGCATATGATGGTGACAGACATTGACAGTCAACTCATACAATCCCCACTTCCAACCCTTATCTTCTTTAATACCTGCTTCCCCTGTATAAGCTGTAAAACCCTCAAAGTTAGTGGTGGCTGTAGGAATCAGCTCTGGCCTGTGAGAAATTAAGAAAATTCTTCCAATTCTACCTTTTCCTCGTTATTCTTCTTTTCTACTTAGATAGTGATATGACATCTAGAGTCACTGCAGCCATTTTGTAACCATGAGGTAACAGCATGACAATAAAAGCCCAATTCCTACAGCTGGTAGAGCACAAAGAAAGAAAACAATGTTGAGTATCTGCTCCAGAACTGCCTACCTCCTCACTTTTTACTACCGTATTTTTCGGACCATAAGACCCACTTTTTTTCCCCCAGAAGTGGGGGGAAAAAGTCCCTGCATCTTATGGTCCAAATATAGCCCACACATATACTTAAAAAAAAAGTTTTTTTACTTGCCCGGCTCTGTGTGGTCTCTGTGTGCTTGCCCGGCTCTAAAATGGTTCTAAATGCTGCTGTTTACTTTACAGGGTTGATTACATGTGTTTATGACTGTGATGTTGGGTTTTAATGCACATAAAATATTTTAGGACACTATTTGTTTCAGAATCTTTTTTTCTTCATTTCCCTTCTCTAAAAACTGGTGCGTCTTATGGTCCGGAGCGTCTTATGGTCCGAAAAATACGGTATATAAAGAAAATAAATTCTCTGTATTTCAGCATTAGTCAAAGTTTCTCTTTTTATTTTCCAAACAGAATTTTAACTGACCCAATGTTTATTAATTTCATGTATTTGGCACCTGCAACCAGCTTGACATGTCTTTCATGCTTTTGGGAAACCTTCTATAAGAGAACCTGTATTAGTTTGCTAAAGATGCCATAACAAAATACTGCAGATTGGGCAGCTCAAACTGCAGAAATTTATTTTCTCACAGTTTTAGAGACAAGAAGTTCAAGATCAAAGTGTTGGCAGATGTTTTAAGTTCAAGATTAAGGTGTTCTTTTGAGCCATCTTTTCCTGGCTCACAGAGGGCCACCTTCTTGCTGTCTCCTCACATGTTTTTTTTGTTTGTTTGTTTTGTTTTTGTTTTTGTTTTGTTTTGTTGTTGTTTTTTCCATGTCTGTCCTAATCTTCTCTTCTTATAAGAACACCAATTACATTAGATTTGGTCCCACCCTAACATTCCATTTTAACTTAATCACCTCTTTAAAGAGCCTATTTCTAAATAGTCATGTTCTGAGATACTGGCTTACTTCAACACATGCATTTTGAAAGACACAATTCATCCTATAAAAGAACTTAAAAGTTTATTTATTTAGTAGAAACTATTTTTCCTTCCCCCAATTCTTTTGTTACATGACAATAAGGCTCATGAGTGTTCAAAAGTCCACAGGCAGGATCAGGAGTTCTCAGGTGAGGGGAAAGTGTCCTGAATTTGGGGTCAGGAGGCCTGGGCTGTAAATATTGGTTGTCCTCTTGCTGACACACTTAGTCTTTCTGAACCTGTGTCATCATCTGTAAAAAGATAGGAATATTACATGTAATAATATATTGGAGTGGGTTTTTTTGTTTTTTGTTTTTGGTGTGTTTTTTTTTTAAATTCCCCAGATGATTCTGATAGTCTGTTAGGCTCTGAAGTGATGGCTTTCAGCATACTATAAGTCATTTTGTTGAATAACCCAAATTTTAATTCTAAGATGTGATCTTTGGGGCTATTTATCAGTTTCTTGGATGTTCTTAAGAAGCTTGGACTTAAGACTTTGCCAACAAAAAACCATTTTCCAAATTCCTTACATTTTCTAACACATTCATGGAATTCCAGAAGGTTCCATCCTCAGGAGTTGCATATAATAAATACTTCAGTAGAACATGTAAACTAAGTCCTTTCTAGTGGTTGGAATGCTATGCCACTTATCCTCTTTGTAGTAGTTTTCTGTTCCTTTACCCTGACTATAACCTGGGGGTACTGAGCCCCCATCTCCCATTCTATACTCTCATGATCCTAACTAAATAACACCCTGTTAGTTTCTTGTATGCATATTTTAAACTTTTTAGTGAAATTTTAGAAAAATAAAGCTAGTTGAAGCTTTTTAAAAATTATTGTTCTGAATACCTATGTTTCAATCCTGATTAATGGGGTGCTATTATGGCAACAGATAAAGCCAGTGTCTAGATTAGAGGACCACTTTGGATTCTTTGACTCGCTTTATAGGTGATTAGCAATCCACTTGACCTACTATAAGTCAATGTGTTGAATAACCCAAATTTTAATCCTTAGCTGTGATCTTTGGGGTTATTTTTCAGTTTCTTAGATATTCTTAGCTGCAATAGCATCCCATAGTCCTCCAGCCCACATGTATATGTGTTCATGATCTTAGCAGAGTCTAACTCTCTGATTTCACAGTGTAGCAAACTGATGCCTCCCTCCCCGTCCCATAGTCAACAACCTAGGTGACCCGCCCAAGGTCACATACAAGTTAGGCTACCCATATTGAGCCTACTTCCAGACCACTTCCCATCCATTGCTCCCACTCCCCCATCTATTTATAACACCACAGGGAATTTTTACCGAAAACACAGAACAATATCACCATTGTAGTCCACCCCAATGGGAAGCTTCCCTGAAGCCCACACAGATCACTCCTAAGCCACAACATTCTTGTTTTTACCCAGACTCCATCAGAGCCTTACCTCACTCTTAGGGAGGCACACATCAGATCTGCTGCATATTGGCAGAACTTTGGCTTAGACTTACTTCAAATGCCTCCCATTGAACACTGGCAGCCTTGAAAAATCTTGGCCAGAAGCCATTCCAGGAGGCTCAGTTGTCCTATGACACTTTACGAGGAGAAGCTGATGACTTTCCCTCCCAAGCTCTCCCCTTCTTGCCTGGGACAAATGACCGCATTTCCCTGTATGTGTCTAAATTAGGAGAGGGCCGGCTCAGCTGCAGCATGAATGGAGTGAATGTCTTTAATGGGCAGGACCCTCTACACAGCACAGTGTGCCTTGTGCCAAATTCTTTCTCTTTCAGTTTTAAAACCCTTGTGTATTCCAAGAGAAATGTAGTCCATGTGTTTCTGCTTCATTTACACTTAAATCATTTAAATGTTGTTTTGTGAGAGTTATTTGATGTCCAAGGACCCTGTGAGTCTTCCTAATGGGACTTTTAAGGGGTTGTTTCTATTATGCCTGAAACACAAAGCAACATTTCGTTGAAACAGTGACTGAGGACAAACCTAGTCTCTCATCCCTTGTACTTGCACTCACGTTATTTACCACAGCCTGTTAATAAGGCCGGCCTTGGAAACTGGAGAGAAAATGGAGCAAGGAGGATTTCAGTGAGATTCAAGCCATCATTCCCTAAAATGTGCCAAGACAAAGTTGGGAGTGCATGCATGTGCCCTCCTGATTAGAAACGGTGGTAGCCCTTTCTCAGGTACCCCACTGGCTAGGTAAAAAAGCCCTCCATAAGTATAATCTCACTTAAGTTTCATAGCAACAATCCCATTTTCTAGGTAAGAAAACAGAATTGAAGATGTTATGTATTGGGCCTAAAGTACACAGCTGGCTTAGATAGAAGTTTAGAGTCTAGCACTGTTTTCAAAATAGTTCAAATTGAGTCTCTCTGTGAATGTTGTGTGTACTTGAATTGTCATATGCATTATAATACATTACTGAGAAGCAGTATAATATAATAAGTTAGAGATCAGATTTTTTTTTTTCTCATTGCTTTCTAGCTGTGTGACCTTGGGTAAGTTGTTTAACCTCTCTGGGCAGTGTCAACACCTGTAAAATGGTGACACTGTTACTACCCACCTAGCTGAGGTACAAAGATGATTGGAGGGAATTAACACATTATTAGAACAGGGTCTGATGTGTCACTATTAGTGGTAGTAGCAGTAAGAAGTAACAAAGGGCTGGCAATCTTGGCAAGTCATGCAGCCTCTCTGAGCCTCAGTTTTCTCATTTGTAAAATTAGTATAATGGTATGACACTCACAAGTTGGTGGGAGTAATTAAGATGACATTTGTGCATCTCTCTACCTAACACAGAAAAGGTTCTCAATAAAAATCTCAGTTTTATGTCCATTTGGTTGTCATTGTTGTGAAGGGAGTTGCCTCTCTTATTATTCAGCTCAGCTTAAATCTGGTGCTGATTTCTCCACAAACCTGCAAACAGGCCTGGCTCTTCCTATACTGGGGTGCAGAGCTTTCTGACTGTGGACCATCCCCTCTGGCTGTGTTAGACCTCTACACCTCTGAGTTGGTAAACAACACGAGTTCTGTGTTTCAGTGGGAACACCTAGCCAACTGCAGGGCCTCTGCTCCCAAACATTCCCGCCAACAGCTCTGCTCAAACCTGTGCTGTTTGCCCACAGACCTGGGGATCAGGGATCTGTTTTCTTTCCCACTGTGGATGTTAGAATTGCCTGGTTGGTTGCTTATTTCTGTTTAGTTGGTGTCCTTTCTCCAATGTCCTGAAAAAGAGCAGAAAACTATAGCCATCTGGCAAGGGAGACTGAAGAGAAATTAGACTTTGTCCCCCTCCACCCTCTACACTCACACAAACTAACACACAGTCGCACAGACTCTCTCTCTCTTCTCTCTTTTCTCTCTCTCCTCTTTCTCTCTCGCTCTTTCTCTGATACACACACACACACACACACACACACACAGTGACACAAATACCTATTTGAGCCACTCACTTATTTCAGTTATTTTCTCTCAGGGACTGGAGCCAGCCACGCAGGATAAAGGAGGGAACTGGAGGAGCAGCAGATCGCTTCAGGAAGACAGATTCTGTTCTGTCAGGTTCCTCTGAGTGTGTGTAAGAGGGAGGGGGGAGAGACAGGGAGAGAGAGAGAGAGAGAGAGAGAGAGAGAGAGAGAGAGAGAGAGAGAGAGAGAGAGAGAGAGAGAGAGGAAAAGACAGAGGGAGAGAGGGGAAGAGGGGGAGAGGGGATCTGTTGCAGGCAGTGGAAGGCGTGACCTGAATGGAGAATGCCAGCCAATTCCAGAGACACACAGGGACCTCAGAACAAAGATAAGGCATCGCTGACACCACATCGGGGACGAGCTCACAGACAACTCAGGCCGGGAGGGATCAAGGCCAGGCAGCCAGGAGCACCCAAGGCAAGAAAATGAGGTGAGTGCCAGGGTAGGAATGGGGCAAGCGTGTCCCTTCAAGGACCAGGTGTCAGTCAAGTAGCCCTGCAGGGTCTGACCTTGTCTCTGGGCGGGCTCACCTTTGTGTCCTGTGGGTGGTACAAAGGGTTTCTTAGCAATCCTTAAGGCTCTGAGAGGGAGACTGGGATGGGCGCCTTCCTGGGACTCCGGAGACATGCAACTTGAAACGGGAGACTTTGTGCAAATCCTGCCCAGGGCTTTTGAGGCTCAGATTCCTCCTCTGCCAGCACAGGGTGCTGCCTGCTGGCGAATGAGACTCTCCTCCTGCTGCCCACAGCTCAGTTTCTTGTTTTCCTCCTCTGCAAAGGACATTGGTTTACATATCCCAACACTTTGTGAGTTAGATGTGTGTTTGTGTGTTTATTTGTTCTGACCGGAAAAGAAACCAGCTTCCCACAGCTCAGCTCTGTGGTTTCTTAAACCCTCAGAAGTTGGCTAGTTAAAACCCCAATTTAGAAAACTGAAAACCTGTCCCCGTTTTACAGTTTTCTATAAATTTCTGAATTTCTGACTAAAATCAGAGGCAGCTGGTGTCATGAGTCAGAATACCAATAGCACCAAATGGCTCTTACATGATACCACAATTTTATTTTATTTTTAAAGGAGCCTTTGGTTCTGAACCCAGGACTTTAAATTCTAATTGTTTTTATGCTCTTCAACATTTCTTATTCCTCAGCTATAGTTTGAGTTACTTGATCCTTCCTACTATACATTGCTTGTAAGTTTTCCTCTGCAAGTCTCAAAACCTTATCACCATAATTATTTTTACTAATTATAAGTGTCAATGCTGTTAAGAATACAAAAAGAAAAAGGGAAGAAGAAAGAAAAGAAAAACACTGCAGATGTTAAGTCCCTAAACCCTTCTTTCCCCATTAATCTTTTTTCTCCATTGAAAAAAAGGGTGTTCTATTTGTTTCTCTTTTGCAAAGTCACCTAGCAACTCTTCTGGGTCTGGGATCAATGAAGGGCTTCAGATGGTTAACTCTTTGAACTCAGATTACCTGTGGTTCAGAGAGGTAATCAGGTCTTTAAGGTTAATTCTTTTAAAGGAACATTTGTTCTTTTTAAATACATTATAATTTTAGATCTGCCATCTAACTTCATATTCCTTTCTTTTAAAGGAATGTCGACATGCAATGACAATTTGATTGATCTGTCACTGTTTGAATCTCACCCTACCCCCAGTGCCCCCGTCATACTGAACTGCAGGGCTGATGAACCGTTCTGTGTCTTTGCATTTATCTATTCCTTAACCCAGAACATCCTTCCCCCTTATTTTCTACCTAGGGGACCCGATTGTTCCAGCCAACTCAAATATCACCTCCTCTTCCCTAGCCAGCATCCCCAGAGTAAGCATCCTCTGGGGCTACATCTCTTCTTGCCTTTGTAAGATCTCCTTGTTTAAATGCCCACCTCCTCTCCCAAGACCAAATGTCTCTTAAGATATGGAATCTTTTTGCATTTGTATGCCCAGTATTTAGCATAATATCTATTTCCTGTTAGGCATTCAATAAATATTGGCTGAATTGCATTCAGTTGTGAAATAGCACAAATACTACAGAAAAGTGCTCCACTAGAAGTTTTCCAAGAGTCTTGCCTCATATAGAAGGGCACTTCAGAGTTTAAAAAACTCTTTTACGGGCATTGTCTCTTCTGGTTTTCAGATTTTTGGATAAGGTAAGGATTTATTAAAAAGTTACCATAAAAGTAGTTAACAATTTACCCAAAGCCACATAGATGATTTAGAAGGCTCAGACTTAAACTTGGGACTTTGGGCTTCAACTCCAAGACTTGGATTTTTTTTTTTTCTACCATATTCTACCAGACTCTCAATCAAGTAACATTCTACACTGGCCTCCTGCATATTAGCATCATCTGTAGTACTTCAAAGTGCCGAGGACTGCAGACCAATTAAACTAGAATCTGTTGAAGGAGGAACTTTGGCATTAGTATTTTTTTTCAAAAATTTTCACATAAAGACACGGGTTTTTGAATTATTTTTCACAGGATTAATTGCTTTGGCTAGATGCCTGGGCATATGGGCATGGACCCAGCTTCCTCTGTGAGCTTCGGTTATTCCTTTCTTCTGTTGAAGCTAATTCGCCATATGGTATTGGCTATGACATGTCACCTCTCGGGGTATCCTTTTCATCACCCATCAACTAAGGGTGTTGTCAAAGGGATCTATGCAGTTCCTTTCAACTCTTCTACTCAGAGACAGTCTGGATGTAATGTGGGTTGAAGTGAGGGGAGTGAGTGGAGAGGATAGAAATTACTACTCGTTGCACAATCACTGATCTGCACAAGCATTTTTATCCTTCCTGATGGCCTACTCCCACACTGGAGCCTCTGTAATACCAGTTTTCGACATTACTTTTGACATTTCAAGCAAATGTAGCTCAACTTTTTTGATTAGTTAGAATATAGATAGCAGGTGTCAGGAATTGTACAGCCGGTGCCTGGTATATAAGAAGCCAAAAACATTCAGAGAGTGTGATGGGGAATGAAAGCCGACACTTATATCCTCTGATTTGCAGGCCCTAAAGCAAGCAAGCAAGCATATGCTCAAGCCCATTATGTGCAAGGAGATATTTGTTTCATATGTTCAACTGTTTTGAGATGCAAACAGAATAGAACAGAAAGCTTCGCAGGCCTTCCTCCCACACTAAACAGTTGTCTATCCCACATGGTCCTGGGCTTCTGGGCTGTCAGCAGCCGGCCCTTGACAGCCCCACAGTAGGAGGCTGAGTCTCCTCCATGTGGTCTGGAAAAAAGCAGCCATGGAGAAAGTTGACCTTTGAGCCTTGCACAATCTGGACATCCCTATTGCAGGGAAGTCCGATTTGGGAGCCAACGCTTACTCCTAACCCCCCTGTTTTTCGGGAAGCAGCATGATGGAGTAATCATAACTAATGTTTGCCTAGGGCTGGGCAGTTAACAAAGCACTTTCCAACCGCCTTTTTTTCTGAGAGCAACCCTATAGGAAGTCATTATTATCACCAAATGGATGAAGAGGCAGAAACCTAACATGACTTTCCCAAGATTGGTCAGATAAATGAAGTAAAAGTCTGAACTGGAACCTAGTTCTTCTGCTTCAGGACTAACACGCTCCCCTTCCCAAGCAGCACTGCAGCAGAACTCCCTGCCCTGCTGACATGGGTATATTTCCTCCCTTGAATGTAGGGCTGCCTGGGCCCTGTGAGTGAGTTTCTGGACTCAGCTTTCCTATGAATTCACTAGAGACTTGAACTAATGCCTTCCCTTCTCTCTGCCTTTTCCTCCAACAGATTGGTTTAAAAAAATATTGACCCTGGCAATTGGATTAGAACAATTTGCTTCCTTAGTTGCGCCTCACATGATGCTATTGTAAGGGCCTTGGAAAAATTTAAGTAATTTTATTGTTTTCTTTTTATTGAAAAAAAGATAGTACAGGTCCTTCAAGACAAATTTGAACGTTTTGTATACACAAAAATAAAATTAAAAACACTCATAGTCCCATGTCAGTAATGACCACTGCTAGCACCCTACTGATATCCTTCTACTCCTATTTGCACTTACCTATTTACCATTTATGTAAATATCATGAGAAAGCTATGTATATAGATTCAAAAATGCATGCATATGCATATATACAATATATGCATTTGTACATGTGGGAAAGAGGGTTGGGGAAAACAGTTTCCTGACTAGAAAAAATATAATTATTAATCCTAAAATGCTGGGTATAATTTCCCAGAATTGACTTTTGGGGCTGTATAAGACTGTGGCCCCATTTCATTCATTCATTCATTCATTCATCCATTCATTCATTCAGTCATGGTCAATTATTTATTAGGCTCTACACCAGGTCCTTTAAATACATAACCTTGAGTTCATGTGAGTTCTTTAATTTTAGAATAATCCCCATTTTCATATGAGGAAACTGGAGCTCAGAGAGACTACTTACCCAATATTTCATGGCCAGTAAGCAGAAAAATTGGGATTTGAACCCCAATACATCAAACTTCAGGGGCTGTTCCCCTAATGCAGTGCAGTGTAATATGTGTTCAATGGAGTGAGTCTCTGTAGCATTGGAACTTTTAAACTGAATGATGAAGGAGAAACAAGGAAATTAGGTAGGAATGATTATGGCATGTGGAAGAAGGCCGAGTTATGGGTGAGCATGGCATGCCAAAGTATGGCTGGCACTAAAATAAAGTTGGACAGGCAGATCAGCACTAGATCAAAAAGGGATCATCAGCCAACCCGGGAGCAGATACTTTACCCTGCAGGCATAGTGGCACAGCATGGTCAACATCTGTGTATTAGTAAATCAACCTTGGAAGAAGATTGCTGAATAGTATGAAGTGGGGGCAGGGAGACCACTTAGGGTGCAATAGCAATATATAATAATAAAAGCATGATATGCTAATTAGACTGGACAGCCGAATGACCTTCCAGAAGAAGCTGCGGTGGCAGGGGCCAAGGCAAAGACAGTTAGGGGCGATCAAGCAGGCAGGCAAGCATTTAGGGGCAATCAGGATGGCAGGCAGAGTGGTTAGGGTCAATGAGGCAGGTAGGCAAGCAGTTGGGGGCAATGAGGCAGGCTGCAGAGTGGTTAGGGCCAGTCATGCAGGCAGGCATAGGTGGTTAGGGTCAATGAGACAGGCAGGAGATCAGTTAGGGGCAATCAGGCAAGCAGGCAGGCCAGTGGTTAGGAGCCAGTAGTCCTGAATTGTGAGAGGGATATCTGACTGTGGTTTAGCCCCTATAGGATTGTGCCTAAACTGGCAGTTAGACATCCCTCAAGGGGTCCTGGATTGTGAGAGGGTACAGGCAGTGCTGAGGGACCCTCCTCCGTGCACGAATTTCAGAGCGTTTGCATCAATTGACCATGGGAAGCAGAATAAATAGTACTTATGGGACAAGTTGATGTGCCAGGTTTGAGGTGTTTGAATTCAAGGTCCTTGGGTCTTGCTTGGATAGGGGAGGGGTCAATCTATTAGATGCTTGGTGTGGTGTAGATTGACCATTAGGGTTTTGACCAGCCTTGAACATTCTGTCTTTATTGCATCAGTCACGTTGGGTGTGTTCTGTAAGTTTTATTGAGTTTTCCTTGCCCTTTATCCAACTCTTTTAATAGTCCATTCTTTTTTATTTCTACAGCTGGAAATAAATTGTAGGGTTTTATCATTTTAAGAACACTTACCAAGAGGGGAAAATATTGTATTACTAAGTCTTTCTTAATTCAACATTTTGCATACCTTGATTAATTCTGTTAAATTTGTGTAAGGTACTGCAGATCGTATCCTTGAGTATAAATCTCATCCCAAGATTACTATGTTAATATTACTTTTTAG